TCATGAAACCTAAAGACATAGGGGCAAAACCTGTTCACTAGTAGCTTTCTTTGCTGCAACACAGCACCGGGCGAGCCATGGAATCTAGAGATGGTAGGGCCAGCACGCTGGCTGCCATTGACAACAGGCAGTGGAAGCCAGCTTGCTGGCTGCCATTGTCCAGATGGAAAGCCAGCACGCTGGCTACCATCATAGTTGAAGTGGGTAAGCCAGCACGCTGGCTGCCATTGTTGAGATGGCAAAGCCAGCACGCTGGCTGCCATCATAGTTGAAGTGGGTAAGCCAGCACGCTGGCTGCCATTGTCCAGATGGCAAAGCCAGCACGCTGGCTGCCATCGTAGTTGAAGTGGGTATGAGCCAGCACGCTGGCTGCCATCATAGTGGAATGGGAAAGCCAGTGAGCTGGCTCCCAAAATCTAGATGGCAAAGCCAGCACGCTGGCTGCCATATTATCCTTATATAGATGTATATATGTATGTATAGATAGGTGGCAAGCCAGCACGCTGGCTGCCATGACCCAAGTGGTGTACATACCAACACATCACAAAAGGGCACAAAACGGACGCAGACGGTAAGGATCAATTTTGCGTTTGCTTGACCTCTGTTGGTATGTATATATGTTATGTTTTGGAGCGGGCGCGTAGTAAACAAGGGGTTTGTTCATTTGTGAGATTATGGGCATTGAGCATTCACAGTTGTATGTCCTATTGCCATTATCATTGACACATATTCTTCACCTCATGAGGCCACACTGCCTATCACGTTGATCTAAGAACTTCAAACAGCACGCCTACTGCTTGCGATATCAGAATATGCCAAGAGTCAGCAATTGCTCAAAAAAATAAGTATACACATTCCTGTATGTCATTGAACATCCACAGTCGTATGACCTAGTGTCACCAAATGTGTGCACACATACTCTTTTTAGCATGGTGAACACATGGTCCCTATTGAGTCAACTTTTAATTTCACAGTGGCGCAACCTGTGATATGTGATTGCGATATCAGTGTCTGCCAAGAGTTAGCAATTAACTTAATGATATGGTTGTGTATAGCAATCACGCACATAGGTCCAAATACACAAACAGATGATATCAATGATATCATGAATGAGGTTTGCTGAAACTTGGCGACCTTAGATTTTTTGGGAGGGCTTTGCAAACTTGAGGTGGGCTTCTCCAGCCACTTGTTTCCAGCAGGCACTGTTGGCTTGTATAAGCCAAGTTCACAAAGATGACCATCATGCAAGGCACTGTTGGCTTGTATAAAGCCAAGTTCACAAAGATGACCGTCACGCAAGGCACTGTTGGCTTGTATAAAGCCATGTTCACAAAGATGACCATCATGCAAGGTCATGTTCACATCCAATTTTCTCTCAAATCCTCAACTACCATTCTATATTGTTCAACTACTCTTTTCCAAGAAGCATCCTTTTATAGACGCGTCAATGCTCGAGTGCTGCGGAACTCCTACTATAGTAGGAAGGCATCCGAAGTGATTGCCGAAGCAGCGGGCTCTGCATACCTGAGTATGTTGGACGCCGTCACCGGCTTCAATCGGGTCCAAAATACTGAAAGAGCGAAGCAAGTGCTTGCTCTCGTCTCTACAAGTGGGCAATTCCTTCCGATGTGTCTCACGTTAGGGCCGCAGAACAGCCCTGAAGATCTGCGCACCGGCCACGACATCTGCACATGGAGGTTCACAAAGTGCTGCACCTGCCACGAAATCTGCGCATGGAGGTTCACAAAGTGCTGCACCTGCCAGGGCATCTGCACATGGAGGTTCACAAAGTGTTGTGCCTGCCACGAAATCTGCACATGCAGGTTCACAAAGTGCAGCCCTGAAGATTTCGCTTATGTTGTCGACCGGGTGTATGCACCGGGAAGACATCGGCGGATGCGCCTTATGAAAGAATGGCTACCGTACGTCGACGACTTAACTGTCAGGACCGGTAGAGTCCTTGACGGGGTCGTGTACAGAGACGTAGAGGTAGCAGGCCGTGTGAGGCAGGCGGTGGAGAGCTCCACAGTCGGAGAGCAGCAGATAGCTGAAGCGCTGGAAGCTTGCGGATTTAGGTGACTCCACGGTATCTCGCCGAGACGCCGTGCGTGCGCACATGGAAGCACATGGCTCGATCACATGCCCGAGGTGTGGAAAGAGAACGCGCGGTGGAGGGTGAAATGCTACAAAAATGTAACCTGGAGAGGGCCGATCTAGATGTAGTCAGAAGTGAGTTCAAAGCCCCTTACCGTGGACAGAAGAAGCGCGGCAGCAAAAAGCAGAGCTCAGCGCGCCCTTCGCAACCTTCACGCAGCGGCTGGAGCTCGGGTCGCCAAGCGCAAGGTGACTCATGGGGCTCGCAAGACTGGCAGGCCTGGCAGAATGACGAGTGGGCTTCACAAGACTGGCAAACCACCACATGGGCGTCGCAGGACTGGGCGAGCGGGCGGAAAAGAAAGTATGACCCGACGTCCGGTACGGACGAGAACCATCCGTAAGTGAAGGATGAAGAAGCCCTGCGGTCAGAAGACGCGGGCGTGACCGGACCCAGCGGTCGCTTGGCGGCGCGGGTCGACCTGTACAGCCAGGGCAGGAATGCCAGGCAGGAGGGCGAATGTGAAGGAGGCAGTCCTCGTTGTGCCTAGCTTCCTGACCCCGTGTTTTGCTTTTAGTTGAGGGACGGTAAACGCCGTCGTGACTTTTGGCTCAAGGGCCTGTCGACCAGCTGTGTGCGGAAATAGGCGCCGCGTTTGAGCCGATGCGCTAGGCGTTTTGCACGTCGTCGTAGTCGTAGTCGTGGTCGTAGTCGGAGTAGTAGTACTAGTAGTAGTGGTGGTGTAGTAGTAGTAGTAGTAGTAGAAGCAGTAGTAGAAGCAGTAGTAGTAGTAGTAGCAGCAGTAGTAGAAGTAGAAGTAGAAGTAGAAGTAGAAGTAGAAGTAGAAGTAGAAGTAGAAGTAGTAGTAGTAGTAGTAGTAGTGGGTAGTAATGTATAGTAGTAATGTAGTAGTAATGTCGTGGTTATGTAGTAGTAGTCGTCGTCGTAGTTGTAGTTGTTGTTGTTGTAGAAGTAGTATAGTAGTAATAGATGTAGTAGTATTAATGGGAGAAGTCGTCGTCGCCGTCGTACTGATAATATTGGTAGAAGTAGTGGCAATAGTAGTGGCTGATTAGACACAACGCATGGTGAATGGCCTACGAAAGAAGCCCCAAACAGAGCGCCCCCCAAAGCAAAACCTTCGAGGCCTAACCAAAGGTGCCATCGCACCGGCGCACTGCCTTTCTCTAGCCAAAGGCTGATGGTTTAGGGCCCCAGGCCAGAAACCATGGAAAACATTCAGTCAAAAAGATGACAAGCCAATTTCAACCTTCCAACTTTAGGGAGGCGGGCGGATATAAAATGGAACACAAGAAATCACCACAGCAGTGCGCAACACTGCCAAGGACCACAATGCGTAAAGTGCTGTGACTGAAAACGGTGAAGAACATTTCATCACCGAAGGAAGAGCGGCGCAATGGACACCTATTGACGCTAACAGGGCCCCAACCTCAAAGCTACACAAGAATCAAAGGTAGGATGGCAGCAGTGCCCTGCAAGGATGAGAACCTCACAAACCAACCAAAGAGGACAACGCCCAACGCAAACTCAAGGCCCCAAAACATTCGCGCCTTTGAGTTTGCTCTCAACATGGTCGCTATTCAACAAGGCGACATCTACAAGTAGATGTAAGCTTATTAGACACGACGCATGGTGAGTGCCCCGAGAAAAGGAAACCACAAACTGGGCACCCTCCAAAGGAGAACCTTCCAGGCGCCATCACACCGGCACACTCCTCTTTTCTAGCCAGAGGCCCATAGCTTGGGGAACATCGGTCAAAAGGCGCGACCTGCTATACATGACCAGGTGAGCTGGGGGCGGGGGTCAACAAAATCCACCCCCAACTGCATCATTCGTCAACCCAGCACGTGACAGCAGGACACCCTGGTCGATCTTCACACCACAAGTCCCGCTCTTCTCACAAACTTCAAACCATTCGAGAAGGCCCGTCTGCTGTGTTTGAATGAGACGGCATACGGCGCCACCACGTCTAGCACTGCTTCCATGGACAAAGCACTGCGTACCATGTTGTTGGCACACATGGTTCTGGCGAAGGCGGCCACCCACGCACGCCGCGCCGCGTCGTTGACGACGAAGACACAAGAACTTGGGAGCCACGAAGCAAGTCAGCCCAACAGTGTAGGGCGCGGACATATGGCATCACTTCTGCTTCGAAAATCACGCTGCTTGGGGACATATTCCCCCAAAAACGCGCGCGCGGGCCACAATGTTTATCCACTATAGGATTGCTACATTCGAGCGTTGCGATTTGCCCTCGCCGTTTTCACACGCTCCATCCAGCAAAAAGTAGATACGTTCGTCGAGGCCTGATGTTAACTTCCTCTGGTGGCCCTGTACTGACTCTCTGCTTCACCCAAGACAGCGCTGTCACCAAGTCCCAGATACGTCAAAAAAAACCTGTTCAGCCAGCGTAAAGCTGTTTTAGCAAGGCCAAAAGATGCGGCCGTCGGCAAAAAGCAAGCGAGACCGCAACGAAGACGCTGTCTTTCCAGCTAAGTGATGCGCGCG